CTGCTGCTGCTTAGCTGAGCGCGATCGAGTGAGAAAGGCTCTGATTACCAAGTGTCATAGGATCGAATGTGTCGAGGAAAGGTTGCACTATCGATCAGTACAAGGCGCTTTTATACTTCCAAAGTACATCAGGTAACCAGGTTTATCTTATCCTAAGGGAATAGACCCTTCTAGAAGATAGAATCACCTTGCGTATATTGGCTTTAAGGGATTACGGCAGGATTACGCTAGATATAGCGCACCAGTACATCCAAGGCCTGGTCGGTGATATAATTATAATAGCAGGATAAACCAAAGGTTAATGGAAAAGGAAGAATAGGAAACCAAATGAGATGCGGTAAAAAGAGAAATGAAAAGGGAAGGAAATAAGAAAAGGCCAAGTGGTGTAACGGGGTCGTACTCTCACAGTCAGTAGCGGTTTAGGAGCACCATGTGACGAAACTTACCTCGCGGGTCTGGAAATTCTTGTTGAGAATGTTCATCTGCTCAAGAATATCAGCAAGAAGCATGAGCACAAACCAAAACCTGTAGCTCGTGACAATCTTGTAAAGACAGTCGTCGGCAAACTCGGACAGCATGACGACGATGGCTGGCAAGACCTTCACCAGCCGTCGGATGGCCTCACCGTGTGAGAGCCATCTGACTTGGTGAATACCCTGCAGCTCCAAGCACGTCGAGAGGAAGACGTCTTGGAGGTCGAGGAAGCGCTGGTGCCACGGTCCTGAGCGACCAAGGAACTCGGCCAGTTCCTTGATGACATCATCAATGATGTTGAAGTACGGCATGTCCTCCGCCGCCGCCTTAGCTACCAGCGCCTCTCTGCACATGGAAAAGAACATGGGGAGAAATCAAACAAACCAGCATGAGTGATAGCTAGCATTGTCCCGAATCACCATCTTTGCAAATGGGAAAAAAAAAACTTATCGGTGAGCGATGCACTGACAGGAGACAAGGTGAGGGATACGCATCTGGAGTCGAGTCACCAGGCCGGCTTTTGAGCCCATCATCACCGCCGCCCCGTCAGTGCTGATGCCCGAGATGCGGCGGAGATCGACACCAATTGCTTGCAGGTGGGAGAGCAGCAGAGCGAGCAGAGAAGAGGCGTTCGCCTTGTCAACGCTGAGCAGCGCCAGGTACTCGGTGACGACGCGGAGGTCCCGGATGAAAGTGCAGAAGACTATTATGTGCTACCCTCTGCAACGGTCCGTGCTCTCGTCGAGGCTAAGTCCGATGAACGGGCTCCGCAGGAGGTGCTCCAGCTGGGTGGTGTGCAGCCAGGTCGCGGTGGATTGCGTGAACTCCCCGAAACCGTACCTGCGTTTAATAATATAAAAAATCTCGTCGTTAGTGGTTTATAAGGATGGAAGGTAAGAATAAGAAGCTTAAAAGTCTAAAGGAATTTAGGCCTTACGAGTTCATGTACGTCCCGTATCCGCCCTCGGGGAAGTTCTTGAACTTCAGCGGCGCAAGGTGGTTGGTGATCGTGACCCATGTGTCCATGGGTTCGTTGGTCTTGCAACATGTGTACAGCAGGTCGAGAAGCGCAGTCACTCGCTCCCTCTCCAAATCCGCGGCGTGCGGGTTCTGAACGATTCGCGTCTGGGTAGTAGCTTCATGCAGCAGAACGTTTTGCTTCCCGAACGCGAGGCGGTGCTTTCCGGTACCAGCGTGCCTGTTGAACGCCTGTGTTTGTGCGTCTGTGATTTCTGGCCCACGATGACCAGTCCTTCCAAAGAGCCCTGCATGCTCCGGACAGATGGTACACTTAAAGGCAGGGCGCCCATCGTTAGCTTTACACAAAACGAGCCAGGGAAACTGCTCCTGACACCTCGACTTGTAACGGGAAAGAGCCTCAGCGTAAAGCTCGGAAGGACTTAGAGACTTCCTGGAGGTGGAAGGTGTATCGTCTTCAGACGGCTCTTCATCGTCATCAGCAGGTATCGACGCCGGCGGCTCGACAGTTCCCGGATTCGGCTTCGCGAACGGTAACTTGGCCTGGCGGTAGCGACCTTGGCGCTTGGAAGTAGTCGTCGCAGTAGCAGGGCGCTCGACAGCGGCTGGTGCCGATGGACCGGGTCCAAGACTTTGCCCAGGAAGAACGACTACATCGGAAACTGAGTCGGCTACTTCCTTTCTTGCAGGTTCCTGTTCTCTAGGCGCAGCATCGGCTCTAATCGGGATGCGGGTGAGGCTAGACAGTGTCGAGAGGAGCAAGTCGAGCCTCGTGCACAGGTCTGCACGAGGAATGCTACCGTCATCGCCTTCTGGATCACTGTCGCTAGGTGCTGCCATCGCGCGATGGCAACGGTAAGAAAATCAGTCACAACCGTGAGGAGAAATGGAATGACGAGGGTGGAAGCACCCGACTTGAACGAGGCAGCAAGTGTGGCAGCACAGCATCGATTGAAGAGATCGATGATGAGGATGGGGTCTCTTGAGGTTTGTGGAGGGCATGCGGCTCGAAACAACCTTCTGCATGCATGCATGTGGTTCACGAAGCGGGTGGGTAGCGGTCTACTGCCGTGCTAGTGGGCCAACTGTCTAACATTGTACCTGGTCTATTGGCTGTTGTGGCTGAAATTTGGCAATGAGCCAATCCAAACCCTGCACCCACGCTCTGCTGGAGACAGCAGTGGCTCGCTACTTTCGAACAGCTAATGAGACCCCGCCGAGCACTATGTGCTGGAGGAAAATTGGCATAATATTCTCGAGCGGGGCTGGAATCTGGTCGGTCACACTCGAGTCGGCGTCATTGACGGGGACGGTGGGGCGGGATTCACGGAAATCACGGGGTGGGGGAGTTGGGACTGCGAATTCGCTATTAGAAGAATCAGGGTCAAGCTCTGATACGACGCGGGAAAAACAGGCCACACTACACTACGCACACTGATCGATCAGAGTTCACTCTTTAAAAAACCCTGAAATTTCAGGCCTCTGTCTTAAAAAAATCCTGTCTCATCAGGGTCACCCCCCAAAAAAGCCCTGATTTTACCCTGAATCAGGGAAAAAAGCCTGAAATCTGAGGCCCTAGAGCAGGTCCATCCTGCCGGGGCTTCTTGTCAACAAATATAATTGTCTATGCTAGGTACAGTATATTTGTTATAGCCTTGGCTAGGTCAGTTCTTAGAGGGTACATTCCCACCTTTGTAACCCTCAGCCTTCCTCCCTTAGTCCACTTTTTCTCTCGACATTCTAATATGGCATCTAGAGCTAGATCTCGCCCTCTACTCATGCTTCCGCCCTAGCACACCCTAGCCTAGCGCGGCTCGCCCCTAGTTGCGCGCCTTGTAGATCGTCCCCTCCCCACCCTCCTCTGCTCATCGCGTAGCTCGCGTCAGCTAGCGCCAGCCGCCACCAGTGCTGACCAGCGCCAGCCGCCGCTAGCCCGCACCACATTGGCGCCTTCGTTAGTCGCCGATCCCCCCCCCCCCCCCCCCTTTGCTCGATCGTAGCTTGTCCCTGACGCCAGCGCCAGCCAGCTCGCCAACGCCAGCTCGCCAGCATTAGCTCGCTAATCCCTGCCAGCAGTTTGCCAGTAGTCTTGGCACACAGACACTTCATGGGCAGACGAGGCTGAGACTCCCAGGTCCTTCCAGGACTACTGCTTTAGCCTTGGTGCAGGTGCCATCTCGTGGAGGTCCACTTGCTGGTCGTCCGTTGCCCTGTCTAGCTGTGAGGCTGAGATCTACGCTGGTGCCATGGCGGCACAGGAGCTCCGCTGGCTGACTTTCTTGCTCACTGACTTAGGTGAGCGGCCTAGCTCTGCCCCGTTCCTGTACGCTGACAACAGGGCCATGATCCTCCTGAATTAGGAGCCTCGACTGGGGGCCAGAGCGATGTACATCCAGCTGCAGTACTTTCTCCTGCGCGAGCTACAGCAGCTCCGCCAGGCCTGCGTAGTACACTTGGCCTCCGATGCCAACACAGCTGATATCTTTACGAAGGCGCTTGCACCTAATGATCATCAGCGACACTTTGTATAGCTTGGTTTAGTTCCTATAACTTCTCACTTGCTAGGCCCCTGATTGTGTACTTCTTATATTATCTTGACTGGCCTTGTGGCTCTTGTTCAAGTGGCTGGACTAGTAGTGCCACCTTGGGTTACTCTTGTTTAGGTTGTACTCCAACTGACTGATCTTCGGACCCTTGCCTCAAAGGTTGGACTAGTAGTGCCACCCTGAGCTGCGTGTCTCTTGCCAGGCATTACGCCTCATCTATCCTAGGGGGTGTGTCAAACATATATCTATATGTTATTGTAGGCTAGATAGGTGTGTACTCTTAGAGAGTACAACCCCTTAGCACAAAACCCCACGGTATCTTATTTCCCTAACTTATTCGTTACCTTGAGACTGCTGACTGGCCTTGTGGCCTCCTGTCTCAGTGGTCAGACTAGTAGTGCTGCCATGAGTTGTCTTGCTACCTTCACCAGAGGTCAGACTAGTAGTGCTGCCCTGGTTCATTAAACGCTGCCTCTATCTAGGCTAGGGGGTGTGTCAACAAACATATGTTACGGTATGTCTATATTTAGTTAGGGTACACATGTTTGTTATATATCCTAGTGTTCAAGCTATATTTTATATAATTGTAGGCTTGATAGTTGTGCTACTGCATCCTACTGTAGAGGGGATAACTCCCCTTCTTGTACCTGATTCTCTTCTAGTTCAATATCTCTTCTCTCTTGTCAATCTCCCTAGCTAAACCTCGGCCACCATTTCATGGCGGCCTTCTCATTTCTTGCTAGTTCAGTTCACAACACCTAGCTAGGTCAGCTCTTAGAGAGCACAAGTATTTGTACTTGTATCTCCCCTCCCCTCTTCCTAGTCACAATTTCTCTTGCTATTCTTACAATAGATGCCATCACTTAAGAATGTGAGAAATACTGTATTGCTAGATGACCGAAATGTATTAGAAAATTCAGTGGAGCAAATTTTTGCACGAATAAGCAGGCATTGATAATACCAAGGCCGGCTTTCTTTGGGTTTATTTCAAACGAATTCAAAGCTGAAACTGATAATTTATTAGGGATACATGAAATGAACAAATGGGCAACTCAGAAAAAACCAATCACGCAAAAAAAAAAAAAAAAAAAAAAAAAAAACGCTTCACACAGCTACTCTTATTCCCGTCACTCCCCATTATCCATCAATAACCTCTCTAGTGCATCAATGGTGTAGATTCCAGCACCAGCGGCAATTGCCCCTTCATGCTGGGGATGTACTGTATGCGCCGACCCTCCTACATGAGCAGCCTCTCCCCAAAATCCCAAACTTACACCGGCTATTCCCGAATGCTCCATTAGGGGGGCAACACTGGAATCATTCTCGTACCTGAATCGGGCCGCACTCTCGACATGAGAAAGTGGGGATGGGGGCATGGGAGCCCCGGCAGCAAATGCAGCATGTGAAACATTATTCAGGGAAAGCGGGGAGCCGGGACCCCCAGCAGCAAATGCAGCGTGTGACACATTCTCCAGGGAAAGCAGGGAGCCGGGACCCCCAGCAGCAAATGCAGCGTGTGACACATTCTCCAGGGAAAGCGGGGAGCCGGGACCCCCAGCAGCAAATGCAGCGTGTGACACATTCTCCAGGGAAAGCAGGGAGCCGGGACCCCCAGCAGCAAATGCAGCGTGTGACACATTCTCCAGGGAAAGCGGGGAGCCGGGACCCCCAGCAGCATATGCAGTGTGCGGCCCAGCTTCCAGGAAGAGCGGGGACGTGCGATTCTTGGGTGCAGAGGCAACGTGCTGGAGACCCTCCAGATGCACCACATCCACTGAGGGGTGAGGCAGAGGACCGCTCAGAGGAACGCTGATGTCTGCCATGATGTGCTGGTATCCAATAGGCTGGTCAGCACTAGGCTGGTCAGCAGGAGCAGTTGCAGCAGCAGCAGCAGCAGCAGCAGCACCGTATGCAGCCTCAAATCCCTCTGCTGGAAATTCCTGTATGAACACGTCTCTGTCGCTGCTGGCCGCACTGCCCTGCTCTGTGCCATTGTGTACGTGCAAGCTGGCAGTATTGTTGAAAAAGATAGGTGGTGAGGCGGGAGTGGGAAGGAAAGGGTGTGAGTGGGGGGCATCAGAGGTCAAGAGTGCAGAGGTCAAGTGAAGAGAGGTCACTGTGGGAACAGAGTGGCTGCGAGAGACGAGAGGGCGCTGGAAGGGACTGAGTGGCCCTTGCAGCTGCTGCTCTTGCTGCTTCTCCTCTTGCTGCTCCTGCTGGTGCTCCTGATTTTGCACCAACTGCTGTTGCTGCACTGGCCGCTGCTGCTGCTGCTGCTGCTGCTGGGACTGTTCCTCCACCAACTGCTGCTGCTGCACCATTAGCATCTCCTCCACCCACGGCCTCTGCTGCCCCTCCAACATTCTCTGCTGCAGCAGCTGCTCCATCAGCCCCTGGCCGTACTTGCTAGCAGGGCCCCACGCCTGCCCCTCCGAGAGCCTCATGAGCCCCTGACCGTACCTGCTAGCAGGCACTCTAGGCTGGAATGCTGATGCGTGCAGCATTGTCCTGTCCAGCTGCCCCGCTCCCAATGGCCCCTGGTCCCGAGACCGCGTTCGCCTCACCCTGCGAAGAGCGAGGCTCGGATCCGTTTTGGGAGAACGGGCTGGGCAGAACGCAATACCCACAACACCAGCAGCACCGGCAGTACCGCCAATCCCTTCAACCACCATGCTGTGATCCCCACCATCTCCACTACCCGCACCAGCACCTGCAGCAGCTACACCTGCAGCAGCCGCTACACCATCCATAGCAACACCACCCACAGCACCCGTGCCACCAGGAACACCAGCTTTACCCACAGCACTCGCACCACCTGCAGCACCTGTATCGCCCTTAGAAGGCAGGGACTCAGGGGTTGGAGCTCTAAGGACAGGTGACTCCAAGGGGAAAGATACACTGTGGCTCCGAGGCCACAGAGGCACGGGCTCGGCATGAGGCCGGGAACGAGGGTCGGATTGAGTCTCGGCCCACGGCTGATTGGAAAGCTCGGAAACGGTGCTGTTTTGCTCCAACAATAAATTGTGGCTCCTCAGCTGCTGCCCCCTCCGCTCCTGCTGCTGATAGTTCGTGAGGCCTGCAGACGAGCATCGTGCTACAGCCTTGATATTCCTTTCACACCTGCGCCCAACAGAGCTGCGTCGCGAGAAGGTTCTCGCATGCCGCCGCCGCTGCTGCTGCTGCTGCTGCTGCTGCTGCTGCTGCTGTTGCTGCTGTGGCTGTGACTGTCGCTGAGGCTGCAGCTGCGGCTGCAGCTGCGGCTGTGGCTGCTGGTTATTCTGGTAGCTCTGAATCGGATGCGGAGTCACAACTACGGAAGAGCTGCTTGACATGGTAAACGCATACTGGATGCCATCATCGTGCTTCTCAGGATGTGCCCCAAGAGCCAGCATCATGGCAGAAGCATGGCGCATGCCAGCATGCCAAGATGATCCCTCCGTGGGTACTACCACTGCCGCCTCCTCTGCGCGTTGCATGGGTGCATGGGAACTACCACCCGCCCTGCTTATGAGCACTCTCCCCGTCACCCCAACGGTCCATAAACCCGCACGTGCCTGGCTTGGCACTGCTTCCGTGTGTCCACGCTGTGTGTGTCTCTGGACTGGCCCTGCCGATGCCTGCTGTCCCAGCAATGCCTGTTCTCCTGCCACTGCTTGATGGATGCCTAGACTTGGAGTCTGCTCCATGGCTTTAAGCCCTTCTGCTGCCTCTGCTGCCCCTGCTGCCCCTGCCGCCCCTGCTACAGGCAAGCCTGTCAGGTTGCCTACCTCTCGGGCCTGTTCACCCCCTTGACCTGACTGCTGCCATTGAGAGGGTGGGGATGCTTGAAGCGGCATGGATGGCAGGCTATGCGGCATGGTTGGCAGGCTATGCGGCATGGATGGCAGGCTATGTGGCATGGTTGGCAGGCTACACGGCATCGATGGCAGGCTATGCGGCATGGTTGACAGGCTATGCGGCATGAGTGGCAGGCTACGCTGCTTGTCTCGGGATCTTGGCACAGTGAAATTGCCAGTTGCATGGCCAGCCAAGTTCACGGGAACTCCTATCCTGTCACCCTTTCCTGACTGTACCTGGTTTGGCAAGCTTTGGTTCGGAGGGCTGCTACATGGAGGTACGGCTGCGGGGAGAGGCGTGGCAGCTGTGACCTGCCAGGAGTGCAAGCGATGGGGAGAGGTGGGGCGTATGGGATGTGGGTCTAGCTGCTGCGAGCTCTGCTGCCTCTGCTGCTGCTGCTGCTGCTGCTGCTGCTGCTGCTGCTGCTGCTGCTGCTGCTGCTGCTGCTGCTGCTGCTGCTGCTGCTGCTGCTGCTGCTGGTGCTGCTGCTGCTGAAGCTCCTCTAACTGCTCCTGCAACTCCATTTTCTGCCGGTGCTGTTTCTGGGAGTGATAGAGGTGTGGCGTGTGATAGTACCGATCAGTTTCCCCCAATCCCATCACCGCGGCCACAAAACTACCATGAGAAACAGTGCCAAGGCCAGCCATTCCCTCGTCTATCCCTGTCCCCATCCCCAGCTCCATACCACCCTCCCCCATCCCCAGCTCCATACCACCCTCCCCCATCCCCAGCTCCATACCACCCTCCCCCATCCCCAGATCCGTACCACCATCTCCACCCACACTCTCTTGGCTTCCGCTACTCTCCTCCCCTGAAGACATCTCTCCCTCTCCCCCTCCCTCCTCACCTCTCTCCCCACCAAATCCACTCCCTCCAGTTCCATTGGCTTCTTCAAACCCCCGCAGCTGCTGGGAAAATTCCTCTGCGAGGACTGAAGACCACAGCTCACCTGCAGCTACCCCAACCCCAGCTGCTTTCAAACCTCCCAAGCCCGCTCCGGGCTCATCAAAACCCAGTAACTCCCTTTCATTTATGACAGCACCTGATGACTTAAACAGCAGGTTTGTATGCCCCTCCGTGGTAGCACCGGATATTGGCGTGTCGGCAGGGCCGGAAGAGACGGGCGCGATGAAAGGGGAAAGCATGCTGGTGTGAGGAGCAGGGGCGGAGAACGCAGGGGAGGTAAAGGGCGGGGCAGAGACAGAGGCACAAGAGGCAGATGTGGAAGGGACAGAGGTGGAAGGAGCAGTGGGCGAAGGGGTGGATGTGGGAGGGGCAGACGTGGAAGGAGCGGAGGGGAAAGGGGGAGCAGGGGAATGGGCAGCGGGGGAACGGTTGGAGGTGGAAGGGGCGGAGGTGGAAGGGGCGGAGGTGGAAGGGGCGGAGGTGGAAGGGGCGGAGGTGGAAGGGGCGGAGGTGGAAGGGTCGGATGAGGAAGGGGTAGCTCTGCTGGAGCTGCTGCGACTGACAGTGGAGCTCGCTTCAGGGGTGCGTGTTGTTGCTCCCGCAGTGGCTTCCGCTGCTGCTACCGCTCCTCCTCCTCCCTGTCCTCCTCCCCCTTCCGCAGCCTCAGCTACTGCTGCTGTCCATATTGCCCCTGATCCTGCACCTGTTCCTGCTGCTGCTGCCGCTGCTGCTGCTGCTGCCGCCCGCTCGCTTGTCCCCTCTCCGAAAGGCCGTGTCCTACCCGCAGCCTCTCCGATCCATCTCCCGTCCGCAGCATCTTCAACATGCTCCACCTTCTTCCCTTTCCCTCGAGAACTCCTAGTAGTACCGCCCTCCCCAACCTGTCCAACCCCTTTCTTCTTCTCTCCAAGTCCTTTCCTCCCACCATCCTTCCCTGCACCGCCGCCTGCCATTCCCTTCCTATCTGCTGCTTCCAATGCTGCAGGCTCGGAGCCTACTCCTCCCACTCCCGGATTAAAATTCTCTGGGAAGTTAAGCTTAGCCTTTGCTCCTCGGATCTCCACAGCCGCTCGATCGAACGCCAGAGCAGCCTCCTCTGCAGTTGCAAATGTCCCCAGCCACTTCCGGACCCCACTATTGGTGTCCTTAAGTTCTGCTATGTATCTAAACTCCCCTCGCTTCCTCACTCCGCGGTACTTCCCTGGCTGGTTGTAGTTCCGGTTGCAAGCCTTTTTCATGCGTCTGCTAGGCTCTGATGGGCTTGCACCTACTGCAGGCTCACCTTGAAGTGGTAGTTGTGGCAAGTTTGGCTGTAGCAGCGGCTGTAGCTGTGACGTCAGCTGCTGGATCCGGTCTTGTGGTAGCTGCGCTGGCTGAGCCTGCTGCTGCATCTGTAGCTGCGGCTGTAGCTGCTGTTGCCACTGTGGCATGTATTGCATCTGCAGCATCTGCTGATGTGGCATCTGATGCTGCATCTGCTGATGTGGCGCCTGCTGTGACCTTTGCTGCGGCCGTGGCAGTATTTGCCGCTGCGACCGCGAGGCCGATGCGGTCCCCGTTTCCCCCAGTCTGTCCCTGTGTGTGCGCGTCATGCTGCATCTCCCAGATAGCTGTTAACTCCCTTGGATAGTAAATGAGTGACTCTCAGACGTTGGTGGTGCCGCCAACGCATCTGCCAAAAGATGGATCATTTTGGAGACTGCTCCGAAAATGAGTACTACTAGTCGTGGGAAGTCCTGGACGTGCAGTGGCACACTGCAAGATCACGGCCTCAGGCTGTTGCTACTACGCGCTCAAAAAACCCCAAGCCTTGTTTCCCCACCTTGAAGTTGGAGACATGTTCACAGCATCAGCCGTGTGGCCTTTCAGCCGCTGGAGCCAGACGCTGGCGCCATATGCTGCTCCTCGCTCTGGGAAACAGCCTGAGGCTGACTGTCCCCGCGGACTCTTCTATTCTGCTACTATCCTATTATATTCTTCAGGATCCTGACCCCTTGAATCTCATTCAACTTGAATGAATCTAGACGGAATTGGTCTGACAACGATGCACCCAGGGTTCTAAGTGTAGGAGTTTTGCTACCAGCGGAGAGCTACATGAGACATTTTCTAGGATGAAGCCGAGGGGAAGGCTGTCTGAGGCTCTCGCGCTCTCTGAGGCTACCGCGCGGCTTCGCGTGAAATTGTCGTTTCTGAGTTGCTAGATGGTAACAAGCTAGTTCAAGCAGAAGCTGGAGTGAAGGGAAGATGGCTGGGGCAAGAGCCGCAGAGAGGAGAGAGGTTGCCTGGTAAGGAACTGTAAGTTTGAAGTGCTTTCCTGCACTGGTGCCTCTTGAGCCTCCTGCACTGGCTGATCAAGTTTCCTTCACACTTGAGAATTGGCTCTGGTGGGTTGAGTGTGTGAAGTGTTTAATCTGGCTGGCCTGGGAGAGTGGAGTGGATCACCGCAGTGTGGTGGAAGGGTTCGTCCCTCACCTCCCATTGGTTGAAACAAAATTATGCTGCAATCTCTCTTGTTACTTTTCCCGTGTCGTCGACGCTTCAGGGTTTCGAAAACTTTCACCGTGTCGTCGACGTTTCAGGTGACGTCCGCAGAAATGACCTGCCACGTGTGGCCGTGTCAAACCGGAGCGCGCCCACGTTTGAGGGTCACAAAGTGTAGCTGCTGTGTCAAACCGAGTCGCAAGATAAAAAATCCGCGAAGGCTGCTTATTGGTCAGCACCGATTTGAAACGACGAAGTCGAGCCGCATTTACACTGCTGGCGGGGAAACTCTACCAATCCATGGCATCATGCTGGCCTTTCGTTGATTGGGCGTGAGCAGCTGGTTAAGTAGTTCGCAGCGACGAATTTGGTTGGCTGGCGACTGCTGTATTGGTGAAAATTGTATTGGCGACAAGTTGTATTGGTCGTTAGGTCAAGGTAAAAATTGACACTCTGCAAACAATGTTGTCGAGTGTCAATTCGAGTCGCGTGACCCTTAGAAGATGTCATGTCAGTTCTACGGACACAGCCTCAGGGTTTCGAAAGCTTTCCTCGTGTCGTTGACGTTTCAGGGTTTCAAAAGCTGAACACAGAAGTCAGACAAATGTTCTGTACAGTGGAGCCTTCTGCCAAAGCATGAATCTGTTCAGAAACTTCACATTTCCCCATGCTCTCAGACGGGGCCTCTCACTTATAAGGGAACACTACGTTTGTATCCTCCTGGAAAAAATAAAACAAAAAAACAACAACAACAACAACAAACGCGACATTTTGCCAGCTTTTCACTGTTCTGATGAGTGTCCCGCACTTGACGAGGCAAGCATTCACGTGATCTGCAAGGAGCGTGTGCGTGCAACAAGTCAGTTCCTAGTTTCCACATAAACTCAAAATTGTGACAAAGACGATGGACATGGTGGCCCCGCCTGCCAAGTTTGCCTTTGGTTTTCTCCCCTCAATTGTTTCACTTGAATTGAGTTGGCCCCTGATTGCTCTTCTAACGAGGTGGGGCTTGGGCCTATCGCTGCAAGCCACCTGGGTCACAGCATTCCAACGTGGATAACCATTCGAAAAGTCCGACTTAGTTTGATTTGATAGGGAGAACCGACAACGATAACGCGTACAAGCGCTGCTGGGTCGTGCAAAACAGCTTGTTTCCGCATTTATGAGGCTCGGTAACCAGGACAAATGCACCTAGCCCGCGCCATTTTCTCACCCAGCACCTTCTCGAGCCGCGCAACACTTGCCCAAACGACGAGGGTTTTTAGGTCATTTTCAGTAGCGCTACAGATCCAACAATATCGCAGGAAACAGAGTTCAGTAGCCCCACAGTGACGGAGCATGGAGATTGTGACGCGTGTTTTCCGGTGGTGCGAACTAACCTCAAAGAACAAAAATCTGGCCGGGAGGGCTGGAACAAAGGAAAACCTACAGGTTGAAGGGCTAAATGTTACTCAAAAGAGTTGAACGCCAGAAAGGGTTACCGCTAACCGAAAAACCCAAACGAGGAGATACAAAAGCGCATACGACAATTCCTAGTTGCGCAATCGACAAGCTAGAGTTTAGAACACCACAAGGTACAGGTTCGCCCAAGGAACGAGAAAATTGTAGCGGTAACCAGTGGTGCTCTAAACTTTACCTTACGATTGTTCCCTAAACCAGTTTCTTCCCCAGAATGATAGTTCGTAAGGTAAAGTTTAGAACACCACAAGGTACAGGTTCGCCCAAGAAACTGGTTAGTGCGACGGGATTGTTCCCTTACCTGTACAAAGGAACGAGAAAATTGTAGTGCGGGACAGGTTCGCCCCTGACCTCCCGAACAAGTCCCCCAACTGAAACAGGTGTTCGACTGAACCAGCTGTCCCGAGGGGATGTACACTTCACGTCCAGTAAAACATTATATCGAAAGATGTCATGTGACTACCTACAGGCCTTTGGGTCCGAACACACGGGAAACAGACCAAGCGACACAGGCCCAAGTATCTGCAACAATTACCACATCTGATACGGAGACCTCCAAACGTGCAGACGGGACGTTCTCAAACCTTACTTTGTTGTCTGAGGAACGTAAAACAAACAACAATGGTCACCCCCTCTAGACAGGAAAATGCCAACGAGGTAACCAGACTACCCTACATTGGCCCGATTCGCCCGTGAAAGTCTGGCGCTCAACTCTGGAGCTCCCGCCCGAAAATAAACAGGGCCCGAAAAAGGCTTCATGCATCTCGATGAGTCTGTTTCTGGACAGGCTTTGTACCAATACGTTGTCTAGTTATGGATACCTCCCACCCAACCAGCCAAATCCCGACAAATGGTCCAAAGCAAGTAGCCCCCAGACAACTGACCGTCAGACCAAGCCTCAACAAGGCAAGGCGTGTTTTCATCCGGTAACACCTTGTCAGATGCAGAATAGGCCCTAATAACTCTGGGCGAACCTAGGCTCTCTAGATACGGTTAGGACAGCTGGTGGTATTTTGCATTGTATGATTGTACTTTCGCCCCCCTAAAAAAATACTCGGCGAATTCAGCTCACACCCAGTACATTCCAGATTTGGCTAACAAAAATACGGCCAATCTAGGCTATGTCGTCAGTCGAAACTGAACCATCATAGGCTCAAGAGTCAATCGCGGAAAGCTTCAGCTCTCAACATCCCAATCGCCGTTATTGACTGGGATATCATTCTACCCTGCAATTCTTGACAAGTAGCGAACCCTCACCCCGCAGTGGTTGTGTGAAACTACTCCCTCGCTCGTATCTGGCTGGGTGTCCGAAAGCACGAGCCCTGGCTCAGACGTCTCCGATTGTCTCGGGCACAGCTCACAATGATCAATTAGACGGTCGTTGCCCACCACAAAGAGAAAGTAACTGCTGTGTACAGAATGGCTTTGTCCTTCACACTGGATGCCTCTGGATTTCCCACGTGGAGATCCGAATATTTGGGGACCCTGCAAAGTTTACGCTGGAATTCGTTGTCTTTGAAGGGCCAACATGCAAAATGACGGGTTTCTAGCTGTTCGGTTACTGCTACTTGCGATCCGCGCACAGTAGTCACGTTTATTGCACAACGAGGAGGGTTTTGTCGCTTTCCGAGCAGCGAGGGGAAGTTCAGCGTTCATTTAGGTTAGTTTTTGTCTCATTTGTTCGCGTCTCACAATTTCGTTGGTTGCACATTGTACCTCAGCATTTTCGCTGTTCTCAGCAACTGTTCCCGAAAATCTCCGTCAACTACAGTGGACGTCGCTGAACGAACCTGGAAACAGAGTGAGCCTCAGGTACCGTCAATATCTGACGGCAAAATTAACAGCGAACTTATTTTTCAGACGGATAAAACATGACGACAATACTCAATATGGGATTGCGGATTAGTGCGACAGGATTGTTCACTTACATTTCATGTCGATATTACGTAATAAACATTTTTGTACTATTTTCAACTCATGGTTTTTTTGCCATGGAATTCCAGGATTTTCGTAAACAATGTAGATCTTTCAATAATGCATTTAACCCGTGGCCGAATATTTTCGAAAGGACTTTGCACTACAACATTCTTTACAAAAAGGACCATACTAGACGTCCCAACCAACATTAATATGCGAACCCCTCTTGAAAATATTCAGCCAAGCATTGGAAAAGGTATTAAAATATCTATATCATTGATGAATATCATGGAATTCCATGGTAAAAAAAAATCAAGAACTCAAAAAGATATTATTTGATAATGTCGGAACGAAATGTAACGGAACAATCCCGTCGCACTAATCCGCAATCCCATATTGAGTATTGTCGTCATGTTTTATCCGTCTGAAAAATAAGTTCGCTGTTAATTTTGCCGTCAGAAATTGACGGTACCTGAGGCTCACTCTGTTTCCAGGTTCGGTCAGCGACGTGCACTGTAGTTGACGGAGATTGTCGGGAACAGTTGCTGAGAACAGCGAAATGCTGAGGTACAGTGTGCAACCAATGAAATTGTGAGACGCGAACAAATGAGACAAAAACTAACCTAAATGAACGCTAAACCTCCCCTCGCTGCTCGGAAAGCGACAAAACCCTCCTCTCTGGGTGACTCAAGTTGGAAACCAGCTTCAACAAATAACTGTTCCAAAATGGCAGGGGTAGGCAGATCAGAATTTCAGCTCAAAGGTGATTGGGTCCCGCCAAAATGTTTATTGCAGGGCGAAATGCGCGACACACAAATCTGACAACGAATCCTTGTCAGGGGTCGCACTTCTCGATGCGACGCTTGCACGGCGAATGCAAGCAACGAGTTGGGGCTCTCGGATTGAGATGGGCCCAACTCGTTTTCAAGTTGGGCCTGGGTTCACAATTGCCGAGGATTCACTACCTTCCCCATGCAAAGCGATATCCAGCTAGCAAACAATCGCCGAGAAAGCAAGCTAGTTCCGCTAGCTGCCCCACCGCATAGAAACTTAGTGCTGAGGGGCTGTGAGAGTGTGGCGCTGCGGGAGAGAAAGAGAGGGAGAGACACAGATAGCGAGGGAGAGACACGGCAAGAAAGGCTGAGGCACGATGATAGAGAGAGAGACGCGGGGAGAGAGGGAGAGACGCGGGGAGAAAGGGTGAGACGCGGCGATAGAGAGAGGGACTCGGGGAGAGTGGGAGAAACGCGGCGAGAGAGGGAGATACGTGGGCGAGAGAGTGAGAAACGCGGGCGAGATAGGGAGAAACGCGGGCGAGAGAGGGAGAGAGGGAGACGCGGCTTGAGCAGGAGAGACAAGGCCAGAGATGGAGAGACGTGGCGAGAGAGGGCGCTGCGGGAGAGAAAGAGAGGGAGAGACGCGGATAGCAAGGGAGAGACACAGCGAGAAAGGCTGAGGCACGACGATAGAGAGAGAGACGCGGGGAGAGAGGG